CTGGTCCAGTTCCCCCGCAATGCAATGTGCCAGTGAGCGGGCTCAGACGATGCGGCTCGTAAGACAAGCATTTGCGGCTGCAGAAATACTGTACCATTAAGTTCGAAATTAGGCACATGCGTTTTTTGGACTTGGGTGTGTGCATGATCATCTATATGGTACAGCGTTGCCAGCCCCCCTATGGGTCAGACAAGTCCCCCCCCTGTGGTTGTGGTCCTGTGGTTGGGTTGTGGTGGTTTAGGGTTGGTTTAGAATTGGTTAGGGTATATTTAGGGTTAGTTTAGGGTTGGTTTAGGGTTGATTTAGGGTTGGTTTAGGGTTGGTTTAGGGTTGGTTTAGGTTTAGGGTTTATTGTTTAGGGATTGGTTTAGGGTGTATTTGGGGTTAGTTTAGGGTTGGTTTAGGGTTAGTTTAGGGTTGGTTTATGTTGATTTAGGGTTGGTTTAGGTTTAGAGGTCTACGGTTTAGGGTTTGGTTTAGGGTGTATTTAGGGTTGGTTTAGGGTTAGTTTAGGGTTGGTTTATGGTTGGTTGCGGGTTGTCTTGTCCTGGGGGTGGGGGTGCCGGGGTGTCGGGGTGCGAGTTCAGGGGGTCAGGGTGGGGGTGGGACCGTAGGTGCCAGGATCCGGGGGCTCAGGGTCTCGGGTTGGGGGGGGGGGGTCCTGGACAACCCATACGATATGGGAGGGGGGGGGGGGGGTAGCAACACGGAACACGGGACCATATATATATATATAGATATCAATGTATTAATATATATATATATATGTATGGTACACATAACATTCACACGCACACGTGGCAGACAATAGTGGCAGGCTCCCCTTACGAGCGCTTCGAGAATGCCGTCAAGCTTGAGGAGGCCACGTACACTACCCAGGCGAGGATCGGGATGTTGCTTATCAAACACCATCCTCAAAGTTGCCCTCCATATCTCAGTCTCAGTGATTCTCAAAACTATATGTCTTTTGGGGGGATGGGGAACGCCTGCAACATCCACCATTTAGAGGATAGGATGTCACTTGAACGATCCAGTCTGATGGCTTCATCTTTTTGTTGAATGTCCACTGAAGATCTGCAACTTCTTTTTGCGAATGATCGTTCCACGGAGACCCTTCAATTTGTGTAGTCAACCGTATTAATCCGGATTTGACGTTAGATACTTTGTGACCATAGCGCTTTGCGGAAGGCCATCTGAAACTTGCGCGAAACCGCGGCAACAAATGGGGCTTGGGCCTATGCAAAGTGATGCAGTTGAGCTGTAAGCTATGGAGGCTTTCAGGCACGGATCCTCAGAGTGGAATTCAGATCGGACTGCCTTGGCAAGCACAGGCAGGCATTTGAAGAGCCACAAACGCATCAAAGCCCCCGCTATCGAAACTTTGGCCGAATGCCAGGATGGCTTTTCCTCTTTTGAATCCGGGTTGGACTTGAGGTGGGGATACCCTGCTTCAACTCCTGGCAAACTAGATTGTACAGTCCAAAAGGCCTAGATGCGATTTGTTGGCGGTTGGAAGCAAAGCGATTCGTTGCAAGTGACGCTTTCGCCCCACGTTTCTCGAAACCGTTTTTTGGCCTCGGCCTTCGGACGTCAGCCGACCGACTCTGTCACGAGAAAGAAGCGCGCAGAGGCCGCTGATCAGCCCACCTTCATCTATTGGACCCGGGACCCTGTGGCGCTGAAGGCGTGGCTCGCTTTTCGTGAGGCTCACAAGGTGGGGTGGTGTTAGAGGGGCAACAGGAAATCGAAAGCCACTTGGGTTCTAAATCCTAGTTTGACTTTTATATTTTGGTGAGTTGGGTACTCCTTGGCGATATTAGCATGGAACTCAAGAAAACACACCCTGTGCAGAGGAATCTCCAAACACGGGGAATTTTGTTTTGGGCTCCAGCTTAATCAGGAAGTCTTTTTCACCTTCCAGGAAAGGTCAAGAGAGACCAATGCCAATGAGTTCGAAGTTTCAACGATCACCTTCTGGCGGGCTTCAAGTGTTTGTTTAATCCTTTTCTAGAGCACCAAGTAGCAACGATGGCACCTCCCCCAAAACTTAGCTTTTTGTGGGGAACTTGCTTGGCAAAGAGCTGGTGCCAGGACTCTTTCTATCAAGAGGCGAAGGGCAGCTGCGTGCTCTGGAGCCTCGTCTACTTTGCCGTGCTACTGGCGGGGAAATGCGGGTTCAGACGTGGGAGGATGGGAGGACGAGGGGGTGGGAGCGTGCTGGTTTCGTACTCATTTTGATCAGGCACGCGGCGCCTTGGGTGAAGTCTCACCTTGCTCTTGCAGTCTTTTCCTCTCCATCAGAACTTCTTCTATGGGCTGAGGAGGCACCACAGGCGGTGTTGATGCAGCATCCTCAGGAGGCAAAACTCGCACCCTAGGAAGTGGTTGTTCTTCAGGAAACCTTGGGAGGGCAATGTTTCTATCAATCAGGAGAAGTCCGACAAACATGCTGTTGTTAGCAATCACGAGACCTACTCTGTGGTCTGCTCGACTCCTTGACGGTGCGCTTAGGAATAGTTGGTTTTCCTCCGATTTTTCCACAAGAGTCCACACCCAACGTTTCCATCAGAGGTTACCCCCTACTATTTTGTCCAGGAGTTTTCCAGCAAGCTGTTTGCCACAGCTTGCTCCTCAGAACCCCTAAGATGATCTTTGGGAGCAGCTTTTGATCGCAGCTGAAAACAATCAACATGGCTATGTATATTGGGAAAATGTTTTTTCCCTGTCGCAGGGGTCATATGATGAATTTGGTCACTTGGAAGGATGGCCAGGGGTGTGCCTTATCAGTCTGGAGAACAATAGGTGCGGTTCTAGGGTACCACCTGCTTTAGCTTACCTGTACAACTCCAGCTTCCGGGCACAAGTCTGAAGCTTGGGTTTGCGTGCCTTAAGGTTGCCTCGTTCGCTTGAAACCACGACCCAGTTTTGGTGCCCCTTTTCCTCTATCGAAACTTCACCCGCCAAAGCTGAAGTGCACAGGTGATCATGTACATCTCCTCTGTGCGGTTGTTGCCGCAAAGGACCGGGTCAGAGCAGCCTGTTGTGTTGACCAGTGTTTGCGTCGATATGAGAGATGCAGTTCACATACATGCTAGTATTACCCCCCCCCCCCACCATACCCCAGCACAGCAAAACTTGAAAGGTCCAGTGCTGGACATTGTGCTGTTGTGAACGGCACAGGTGCACTATCCTGGCAAGCCGGAACTCAGCTCATGCGTATCCCACCTGGAATCTTCGCGTGGTTGACTGTTGCCTGACTGTGCGGGATGTTTTGCAGCTCCGGACCGCAGGAAGACCGAGGGCGTCCTGAGATATGCGGATTGAGGCACAAACGGATGGGTGGCCAAGCAAGTGCTTGAGGTGTTGCCAAGCCGTGCACACCCTGAAATGGTTTGCAGTACCTACGGAAACAACAAATTCAGCAGCATACACAGCTTCTGGGTGGGAGATATGCTTTGCGCAGACATCTGCTGATCTTTTCTTGATTTTTTACCTGGCAGGGACTTGTCCAGGAGATGTCTGAAATTGAGCTCCCTTCACTTAAATTTGTAGTGCGTTCCTGTACAGCAGCTTTTTGGCACAGGTGCAGATCCCTTCGCCTGCTTTGGCCTGTAACGAGGGCATGCCGGGGGGGGCCTTCCCATGCATTGGCTGGTGGGTCGGTGGTCAGTTAGCTTAGAAGGCTCGCGTTGTAGGTGAGAAGTGGGACAGGTTGTCAATGGAGTCAATGCACTACTTCAGGCCAAACAGCTATAGGTTCTAACACACTGGTAATTCTCCAGAGTCAAACAGGCTGAGTCGAAACTCACGGCAAGGATATGCGCATGGGTTGCACTGGCCGAAGCCTCGCGCAGCGCAGGGTACTGAGGCCATCTCACCTCTTTCCGTCGTTTCACCTCAAGGTTCGGAGCCGAAGCGAGTCGGCCGGAAATGACGCGTACCTGGCACGGCGCAGCTCATACACCAAAGTGTTGTAGTTCTCAGTGCAGTTTCCAGTTATGTGTTTAGTACCGTGGATGGAAACAAATCGCTTTCCAGCGAGGTGGTTTATCCGATGCGGCAGGTTTTTGGTCCATCCGCGGTAGGAAGGGGAAGGGGCAATTTGGAACCTGTCAAGATGAGTCAGCTGCAATGTGGCCAACGAGTCTGCATGCGCATGTTTTTCCAGGACCAGGGCGCCATTGACTCTATGAGTAGCGACCCAAACATGATGTATTTGACCCAATACCATCCCCTTTTCAGTGACATTTCAGCAAGCATGGATCATCAACAGCAAGAGGCAAAACAGGTGGAAACTCATTTTTAACCAAACATGTGTCGTTTAAAGGTCTTCACATGCGCAAGATGTGTTTCAGGGTTCGCTGCTAGTTCTTAAAGGTACTCCCTTTTTGCGTTTGTTTCGAGATAATAATGAAACCGGCCGGGGCCGCGGGGCCCCCGTATTTTGACAGACACACACACACACACACCCATGCATTTGGCCGTGAAACAAAGCCCGCTTCTTACCTCCCGCTTCTGCGTGGCATTGGCTTGGCTCAAGCAGCGAGGGAACGCCGCGGAGTAAGGCTGAAGCAACATATGGATGTGGGTCAAAATTAAACCGCCAGGGGACCGCAAATTTTGGTCCATGTTTCCACTTACCAGGGTTTCATTCTGGGTACCTATTTTTGACCCACAGCCATATCTTCGGAGACCAATAGCTGGCAGCTAGCACGAGCTGCACAAACTTGGCCATGGGAACATCCCCACGTAGCCGTTGTTGAGCTGAGCAAAACCGCTTCTCAGCAAAGTCAGGTGCAGTCATTTTCAGATGCAATACCGTTCCACTAGTTGAACATGCATCACTGAAGTTTATCATGGACCACTGCTCACCAATTCAGGGGGCAGTGCACCACTGGGCACATGTTGAGAGAAGCTCGTTCGCAACGGCTTGCTATTTGGATGTCCAGCTCAATTCACAACTTCCAGATGGAACCATTTGGTACCCATAGCCCCTTAACACTACTTATACAAGTTCGACGCTGCCAGAGTTTGCGATGGCATGGGGCTGAAACTCCAGGCGTGCCTGACCAACGTTTGGCATTAGGGCCCATATTTTTGGATACCCACTTCCCTTAAACGAGGGATATGCAGCCCTCAGCATGTTGGTGTTTGCTTGTTTCGAGGCCTCGCTTTCTTCAATCAACAGGCTTCTTGCTGGCCGAACATCCATTGGCCACGGTGCAAGTGTATCAAGCAGTGCGCTGTTTGTTTGTTTTTTTGAAGGCTGCGCGAACAGTCTGGAAGTTAGTTCTTGTTCGGTTTTAGCTGTCGCAACGAAAATTCGGCTGCATATTGACTGTGTGGGGAGTGCGCGCACAACAGTAGAAGCATCTGTCTTTTGCTTTCTGAGGAAAGCCCCTTTTTCTGGCAGATATAATCTGCGCAAACCTCAAAACCCATGTTCTCTAACAGCTTGCCACATTATGTAGCAGAGTCAGAAGCCTTTTCTTGGTGACACGGCTGGCTGTGAGTAACATTGCACTCTCTCTCTCTCTCTCTCTCTCTGACAGCTTTCTTCCAACGAGGCAACATACAGAGAATACATTCTCTGGTCCGGGTTCACAGATTGAAGATGACAGATGGATTTTCAGATTGGTTCCTTTCATTCACCAATGGCACTCATGTTTGTTTCCAGTTCCGAATATCATGCATTTTCCTCCACTCTCACTTGGACGTTTCTTCCGAGCCGAGAGCCGAATCAAATCGCCAGATCTCCGCCTTTGGCGCGCTGCTGGGCTCCCTCTTCCTCTCCTTCACCTTTGCAGCTTGGATTTAGCACAATGTGGGATGCACCTCTGGCGCGTTAAGCCGGAAGGCTATTAAGGGGGCCTTTGAGGGAGGGTCCAAAAAGTAAAATGCCATCTTGAGGAGCAAAGCTCGCTTTGCGAGTGCCCAGTGTGATTTTGGAAGCCATTGGCCGGGCGCATTGAGTGAACATATGCAAAGAAAACAAATCATTTCTGGCGCAGCCAGCGCTCCCAGGTGAGAGAAGCTAGGTAACTGGTTGCTCATGGCGCGTACAGGCGCCTAGTGACTTCGTTTGGTTTCCAGACCACCACAAGTCAACGTGCACATATCATAGCATTGCATACATGGTGGCACCATGACAAGCACACCCTTTCACGCGCAAAGTTGGCATCCCTCTTTGTGTGAACTGCATGTCGCGTCCAACAGAAACATAAAACCTCTACCGAACAACATCGTATGTTGTGACACAGAGAAAGCGGCCAGCTGTGACCTCCCAAAGTACCAGTCGTTTTCGAAGCCATTGCAAAGGGAGTCGAAAAAGGGTGACCCCGCTACACGGGAAACACAGGAAAGCCACAACCTAACAACTGGCAGAGCCCGAGGCTGAAGCACGGGAACCTGGGGGCTGTGCCCAAATCTTTTGGAATGAAACTGTAGGCTTAGAATGCCCAGACATGGTTCTCAAGAAGCTTGGATACAACCTGTCTTTGCCTTGCGGAAGGTGGAGCTATGTTGTAGCCTTGTTGGCGGTACTCAATCCAGGGGTGCACTCCCGCCTTGGGGCGGCATTCAAAGCTTGCGGCATCAAGTTTCAAGCTCAACAGATTATATGCTCAGACAAGGTTCTACCACCTGTTGGGAATGTGTCACAAGAATATGATGGTGGTTTCCTTTGGATTCTGTGAAACCAACCTAAACAAGGATACCTTCAGCTTATGAGGCTGTGACCCCCCCCCTTTACCTCCCCCGCGTTCTAGGTTAAAAGCCCTGTTAACGGGGCACGGGGAGGCTTTCGAGGTTTTATGAAGGCTTTCAGGAATCTTCGTCGAATTTCCGCCCCTGCCTTAGGGAAGCCTTCGAGTCTTGGGGAGGAGGGAAACCTGGAAACCTTGCGGAAAGCCTTCGGCAAGCCTTAGGGAACCCTTAGGGAATCCTTAGAAAACACCTGCTTGGCGAGACCTTAAGGCAATATTTGCCAAGGATGCTTAGGGGTTGACTGGAAGGGCTTGACAAGCTGGCTAGTCTCTGAAGGGAGGGGGGATATACAACTTTGTAACACACGCACACGCACACGCACACGCACACGCACACGCACACGCACACGCACACGCGCACACGCCCACGCCCACGCCCACGCCCACGCCCACACCCACGCCCACGCCCACGCCCACGCCCACGCCCACGCACACGCACACGCACACACACACACACACACACACACACACACACACACACACACACACACACACACACACACACACACACACACACACACACACACACACACACACACAC